GGCCAAGAATAGCCAAGATAATTTTAGAGCAAGAAAAAGAATTATAGCAAACACTTCACCACCAGAAATTGACTTCTTAAGGTAAAGTGATTCAGCTGGTATGGTTTTGACCGAGACATAAGAGAAAAAGCAAGTTGAAACTTAATTTAAAAGTCACAAATTTGGGAAAGCCTCATAGATTTGAGGCAGCTGTCCAGATAATAAATAATGACCCACACAAAGTCAACAATCATAACATTTCAGGACACTGGGAATAAATAAAACATTCTAAAAGCTTCCAAAGATAGAGAGAACGGCTGTAATAAAAGGACTGAGACTCAGAATGGCATCAGATGTCTTAATAGCAACACTGTAAGTTAAAAGACAACATAATGCCTTCTAAATTCTAAGAGAAAAATAGTTTCAAATCTAGAATACTATGTCCAGACAAGTTATCAATAAAATATGAAGGCATTTTTCAGACATGGAAGATTATGAAATATTTACTTCCAATGGAACCTTCCTCAGGCAGCTATCACCAAATGGGATCCAGGAAACACAGTCCGATACTAGAGAACAACGTAAATTCCATGAAGATGATGAAAGGTAGTCCTAGGATAGTACCTCTGCGGTAGGTCTCTAGAACAAATAGTCCAGATTAGGCGAATGCAAGACTCCAGTATGAATATCTCCATGGGAAAAAAAGGAGCTGCTAAATTCCTTTTACTAAGTAATTCAACGTGGTGGAGAGTTTGAGGATAAATTGGTGAAAATTACACGGAAAATTAAGCAGAGCAAAGTGGTCACTTACACCAGGAAGAATAAAAAGGTTTTGAAGAAAAGAAATGCAATTAAAACAAATTGTATGACACGGCAATGAGTATTTGTATCATCATAATAAAATACTGAACAGGATTTAATGAGGGATTGTGTGATAATTACATTGGGAGGACAGAGAGGAAGTGTACTGGTTGGGCAAGAGCAGAGCAAGAGACCTGAATCCTCATCTACCATGGTAGGAAATTAAGAGATAGTATCTAAAAATAAATAATTAAGAGACAGCAGCACAAATATGGTTATAGGAAATATGTAAGTAAATGAAATGCTCAAAGCACCACTGCACTTGCCTGGGTGACAGAGCAAGACCCTGCCTCAAAAAATAAGACAATAAAATCTAAAAATTAATGTAAAATTCTAAAATAAAACAAGGTTTCTTCATTATAGTGTTTTTAAAATTTTTACTTATTTTTATTTTTTATTTATTTATTTTGGAGTCAAGATCTTGCTGTCACCCAGGCTGAAGTGCAATGGCACCATCACAGTCACTGCAGCCTTGACCAGGTTCTAAGCTCAAGCGATCCTCCCATCTCATCCTCCTGAGTAACTGGACTACAGGTGCATGCCACTACGCCTAACTATTTTTTTGTAGAGATGAGGTCTTGCCATGTTGCTCAGGCTGGTCTCAAACTCCTGGGCTTAAGCAATCCTCCCGCCTTGGCCTCCCAAAGTGCTGGTATTATAAGTGCAAACCTATGGTTTTGAAAATGGAAGTCCAACGTGATATTACATCCAAGAAAACCATTTTGAGTTCATCAATAAGTGTGCTAGAAACAAAACATAAAATATCCTATCGTCCAGCAAAATGAGAATGAATGACTGGGAAGACACACCAGACTTTCAGGAACAAATATAATTAGAGGAAACTCATAGAGACAGAAATACTACTCATGCATTCTGGAATCTGCATTTCAAATGCATTCAAAAGGAATTTAGAATGGCAAACATCAGACTACAGGGACTCTATCTCCAGCTTTGAGTCCACTGGGCTTGTAACATGCAGGACTAGCTCTCTCCGTAGAGTTATTTTTCCCTGCAGCTCTATCCTCTGAAATGGTGGCCCCAACTTTCAGATGCCAAAGCCTCCCTGATTTTAATCTCTGTTTTCTCAGCTCAGCAACACTACCATGCTATTTCCCTCTTCCAATGTCATAACTGGCACTACCCACTTCTCACTTTATACTCCCTACATACAATTATCCTAGAGCAGTATAATTCCATATACACATCTTCCATTGTTTATGTGACTATTGTCATATCCTTTACTTCTACATGTCACAAACCCCAAATTACAAATAATTACACATTACATTATTTTTGCTTTTAACAGTCAGGTACCTTTTACGTAAATTAAATAAGAGAGACAGTATAGACATTTTCTTTACCCACTTATTTACTGCATATGATTTTTTTATGCTATAAATCCAAATGTCCAAACAGTATCATTTCCTTTGACATGGAGGACATTCTTTAGCATCCAGGCCTGCTAGAGATTTTCTCATCTTCCATTTATCTGAAAATGTCTTTAATTCACCCTCATTTTTGAGGGATATTTTTCTTAATACAGAAACCTGTTCACACATTTTTTTCCTTCAGTACTTTAAAGATATCACTCCATGATTTCTCATGAGAGGTCAGCAGTCCTTACCATTTCTCCTCTGTATGTAATACGTCTTTCCTTCTGGCTGCTTTTAAATGTCTTTATCTTTAGTTTTCAGCACTTTAACCACATCTGACATGGCCGGCTAATTCTGTATTTTTAGTATAGACAAGCTTTCACTGTGTTGGACAGGCGGTCTCAAACTCCTGACCTCAGGTGATCCACCCACCTTGGCCTCCCAAAGTGCTGGGATTACAGGTGTGAGCCACTGTGCCTGACCTATGATCACTTCTTTAAGTCTCCGTCTGCTAAGTCCAACATGTGTGCCAGCCAGGCCTCTACCGACTGCTTTTATCTGACTCTGCATCACTATCCACATCCCCATTTTTGTTTGGTTCAGTGATTTTTTTTTTTTTGAATCCTGATCATTGTGAATAAGATGTTATAGAGAGTATTGAGTTTGTTACCTTCTTATGAAAAAAAATAATTATGTAAGCACATAAAAAAATTACTGACTGATCTCCTTGACCAGGAGTTGGCTTACATATACTCTGTGATTGTAGGTTCATACAAAAATCTAAGATTTGTCATAAGACCCTCTACTTGGAAGGAAGACTTCCAAACTCTGTGGATCTTATCAGGGCTTGGACTTAGGTTGTTAGTCAGGGTTAGAGTAGGTCTTATGTGATACAAAGGTTGTTAGCTGGCTCTCCAGGGCTGAAAATTCAATTTCCCCTAGCACTGTTTCTCACCTGGGAGATCTGCTTGATGATTAGTATTCTGGTCTGTTTTCAAATGCTATCATCTGCTATTGTCAAGCCTCATATGGTCTTGTAGTACAATGCACAGCCCAACCTTCATGAGGTACTTTATGCCCTCTCTCTGTACAACTCCTTCCTCTCCAATGCTAAGCCCTGAATATTCCAGCTGTTGCAGGTAGTCCAGCTCTGCTTTCACTCTAGCTTTCTGCATCAGAGTCAGGAACTGTCCCAGTCTTTGCACAATCGTGAGGAATACCTCATGAGTTCATTTATGTCAGGGATAATAGCATATGCTGCCTGTTGTTCACTGCTGGAAAACAGTTGTTTCAACTACTGTATCCAATTTTATAGTTCCTTATAGTGGGGGTGCTAATTGGGTACCAATTTATTCCTTCCATCATGGCCAGAGGCAGAAGTCACATAATTCTTTTTAACAAAGTTATCACTGTAGGACAAATTTTCCAAAGTCGGTCAGGCACGGTGGCTTATGCCTGTAATCCTAGCACTTTGGGAGGCCGAGGTGGGTGGATCACCTGAGGTCAGGAGTTTGAGACCAGCCTGGCCAACATGGTGAAACCCCATCTCTACAAAAAATACAAAAATTAGCCAGGCATGGTGCGCTTGCCTGCAATCCCAGCTACTTGGGAGGCTGAGGCAGAAGAATCACTTGAACTCAGGAGGCGGAGGTTGCAGTGAGCCAAGATCACACCACTGCACTCCAGCCTAGGCAACGGAGTGAGACTTCGTCTAAAAAAACAAAAAGAATAAAATTTTTCCAAAGTTAAAATTACTGGTCTAATGTGACATTTTCATGGCTTTTGGAATGTATTATACTAAACTGTTCTCCAAAAAGTTTCTGTCAATTAAACTGATATATTTTTGGATCTCTCCTATACGGCCAGAAAAAAAATGAAGTTAAAAAAAATAACAGAATAAAACTGTGGCATATAAACTTATTTTTTTTTCTTTAAAATAGAGACAGAGTCTCACTATGTTGCTTAAGCTGGTCTTGAACTCCTGGGCTCAAGTGATCCTCTTGCCTTAGCCTCCCAACGGATTACAAGCATGAGCCACCATGCCCAGCTTTTTTTTTTGAGGGGGGTTGGTTGTGGGGGTGAGGGAGTGGGGGACAGGACTTCACTGTTGCCCAGGCTGGAGTGCATTGGTGCAATCTTGGCTCACTGCAACCTCTGCCTCCTGCACTCAGGAGATCCTCCCACCTCAGACTCCTGAGTAGCTGGGACTACAGGCGCCCACGACCATGCCCAGCTATTAAGTAAACAAACAAACAACAACAAAAAAAACCCAAGGGATTTAAGCTTAGCAAAAGTTAAGCAAATGGGAACATGAAACTAAATCAACTTGTAAACTCTCTGAAAAAAGGATTCATTTGTTGAACACTGTCCCTGAGAATAACGAGGCAATTAGGAAAGAAAGAACAAAAAAAAGTAAAAGTGAGGACAAAGTTGCATTTTCTTTTTCTATGTGAAACTTAGTTCTTTTACCCCCGGTGAACTTCGAAATATCTGAAATACAACAGAAGTCACCAGCTAAAGAAGGAGCAAACAAGGGTCTCATAAAGGGTATATTTTATCAGTCTTAAGATCTTTGATATAAGCAGCTGAAATGACTTGTGACTTTTTAGACAAACCCCATTATAAGTATACCCAAATCCCTTTGTGGAAGGAGGTGGAGCATAGATAGACAAATGGATGGATGGACGGATAGACAGTATAAATAGATGGTTTCTAAAACAGATATAAAAGACAAATAGCAAGGGAAACGTCTGTGAATAAAATAATTTAGTATTTATCTTTATTTACCGTTCCATCTTCCATCAGCTTCAGACAAGAACCAAAATCTGCTAACCGAATATGTCCATTCATATCCATCAGTATATTGTCAGGTTTAATGTCTCTGAAAAAATAAATACATTCAATTTTTAGCGGAAAAATAAACAATTCGTTGCTTGGTAAGGTATTCTTTTTGTCGAAAAAAAATCTCAACTTATTTTAAAAGTAATATTCTAAGAACATCTATTTAATTACTTTATTAAGTCAAATCCTGGTTCTGATTCATATTAAAACTTTCTCAAACACATGTAATTTCAGTATTCTTCTAGAGATAAAAGGTAGTGTGGTTATTTTCATTCTGGTTAAATTAATCTTACTATCTTTCCTTTTGATTTACACAGATACCAATGTCACTATGGTAGACCTACTTTCTCCATACAGAAGAGTCATCATTACCTGATAACCATAAAAAATACTATCCTCTAGCCCATGAAACTGGACAGGGAAAAATATACTTTCTAGACCCTAAGATAACTGCAGATAGATAAAGTCTCAATTACTGCAGGTCATGACAACACAAAGAAATTGCTTCATAAAGTTGATTTTACAGAAGAACTAAAACAACTGCCTAATAGATTGTCTATATTATTTAAAGCTTTCACTGTCTTCGGACGTTAAGTCAATGGTGTGTAAGATATTCAAATCTAAACTGTATCATATACCAGCTTTTGTATTTGTTTTTGCATGTGAATGCAAACCTTTAAAAATTATCATATATAAAATGGTTCTGTAAAGAAGATTCTCAGGGACTTAACAATATTAAGCTTCTAATCATACTAAAGGTTGTAATTGTGAATAACTAAGAGATTATACCCACCCAACTCACTCTACTTTTAGAGGAAGAAAAAGAATCTTTGGAGAACCTATACATATTTTTAAAAAATTATATTGCCATGTAAATTACAGGAATATGGGAGGGCTACTTCAATTTAACCTGAATAATGCCATTTAAGATCTCTATGCCTCAGTTTTACCACCCATAATATGGGTAAAATATTATAACAATATTACTTTGATTACTGAAGCAATTTCTCTGAGTGTGTTGTATATCACAAGTCAGTAAATTATGGCCCACGGCCAAATCTAGCTTGCTGCCTGTTTTTGTAAATAAAGTTTTATTGAAACACAGCTGTGCCCATTCATTTAGGTATTGCCTATATTTGCTTTCACACTACAATGGCAAAGTGAGTAGTTGTGACACAGACCACATGGTCTACAAAGCCTAATATATTTACTCTCTGGCAGTTTATAGAAAAAGTTTTCAAACACCTATTGTAGATGATAGATGGTTGCTAAACAGACAGGCAGATTGAAAACAACAATCTGTATAGGGAATTAGCTTTATAATCCTCAACATTTGACTTTATCCTAACCTGTCAAAAAAGATCTTCTGCTGTAGGGGAAACATCAAAGGAGTACAGTTTAGTTCTGGAAGGAAGCTTAGCAATTACTAAGACCATTTTTGGATGAGGAAAAAATATTTTATTATTTATCTTAAAAATTAAGCTATACAGTCACTACAAATTACTTCTACTGGTATAGTATTTCTTAGATTGTAAAGGAGATTAAAGGAATTGCAAAGATGGATTTATATGCATCAATAATATCTTTGCTTATTTTATAGGCAGTAAGTATAAAATATATACATATACATAAAGCATATTAATGTGAATATACTCTATTCATAATACTATATAAATAAAATAGAAAATACTAAAAGTTAACAAGACATCACAGATAGTACTGAAAAACATAAGTATTCTATTACCATTCCTGATCTCATCCTTTCCCTCCACTACCCAGACACAGCCACTATCCTAAATTTGGTGTTTACTGTATCCATGCATATTTTATACTATTATGCCTATATACAACATCACAAAACTATGTACGCTTTAAATGTCTTTAAACTTCATAAATGACACCAAACTGTGTATTGCCTTTTGCAGCTTGGTTTGATTCAAATACTATGCTTCATCAGCCGGGTGTGATAGTTCATGCCTATAATCCCAGCACTTTGGGAGACCAAAGGAGGCCAAGGAGGGAGGAGTACTTGAGTCCAGGAGTTTAAGAACAGCCTGTGCAACACAGTGAGACCCCTTCTCTACAAAAAATAAAAATGAAAAGTTAGCCAGGCAGGATGGCACATGCTTGAGGTCCCAGCTATTTGGGAGGTTGAAGTGGGAAGATACCTGAGCCTGGGAGGTCAAGGCTGCAGTGAACCATGATTGTGTCACTACACTCCAGCCTGGGTGATGGAATGAGAAACTGTCTCCAAAAGAAAAAAATATATATATATATGTTTCTAAAACTTATCTATTTTGGTACATATTGTTTTGATTCATTAATTTTAATTTTAATTATATACATGTCAAAATTTATCAATTCTCCTGATAATGGAATTTTGATTGCTTCCCATTTTTATTTTGTTAAAACACGGAATGCTGAGATGAATATTTTAATAATTGTCTTCTAGTACTCATATGTGAATGCTTCTCCAGACTACAGATGTAGAAGTGAAATTTCTGAGATGAAAGATACAGACATCTTCAACTTTGCTAGCATGATTACGAGTACAGTTGAGAACCTTTTTCATATTATCATTGGTATCATTGGTCATCTTAGATTCTTCCTCTATAAAATGCCTGTTAATATCCCTTGCCGTTTTAAAAACTGTGTGCACACTGTTTTTTGTTTAATCTTCAGGGATTCTATTTACTCAAACTTAGTTCTTTATTATGTGTTACAAATCTCTTTTCCCTGCATGTGGGCTTGTTTTTCCATTGCTTTTAATGTCCTTCTTATTTGTAAAAAAAAAATATATATATATATATACACACACACACTAATGTAGTCTTATAATTTATACTATGATTTCTATCTTCCCAGATATCATAAGGATAGTGTCCTAATTTTCTCTTGTGTAAGTTTTAAAGTTTTACTTTTCAAGTTTTTAAATCTACCTGGGATTAATTTTTGTGTGTAGTGTGAGATAAAGGGCAGTTACATTTCTTTCTACCCCAGCACTATTTACTGAATGATACCTTTTCACCACTATTATCTAATACCACATAGGTCATAAATTTAGTGGGTTTGTTTCAGGACTCTCAAGAAGAGCAAAAATACTACTTATTACTCTCTATATTTTTTTTCAGTTGACAATCTTTAGAGTGAAAGGGGGCCTATTAATAATTGCCAGGATAACAGGCATAAATTGGAACTCTTCCACACAAGCCAAGATGAATGGCCACCCTATCAATATGCCTCTACCTGCACCGATACCACAGTGTCTTAATTATAAAATAATGAGCTTCATATCAGTAAAGCATATTTTTTAATTGCCATTACTCTTCTAGATCAATGCTGGAATTAGCTTAATATGTTCTATAACACATATTGAAATTTGTATGGGAATCATGATTTTATAGATTAATCTGAAGAGAACTGACATCTTTGCAATATGACACTTCCTATCTCTGTGTACACTAAACCTGTAAGTCTTCTTTTATATTCTTCAGTTACGAATTATTTTCCACAGAGAACTTACACATCTAATCTACAGGCAACATAGTGAGACTCTGTCTCTATTAAAAAAAAAAAAAATTTAAACTTAGGCGTGGTGGTGCATGCCTGTGGTACCAGCTATTCAGGAGGCTACTCAGGAGGCTGAGGTGGAAAGATCACTTGAGCCCATGAGTTCGAAGCTGTTGTGAGCCATGATCATGCCACTGCACTTCAGCCTACGTGACAGAGCAAGACCCCCATCTCTTTTCAAGTGCGCGTGTTCATGCACGCGCGCACACACACACATCCCTAATTAAATTTTTTAAAATTCAGACTCTGGAAACCAGATCCTAGTTTCAAAACTTTCAGTAAACTCTCAATAAATCACTAAAATGCAAAGGGCCCAACATTACTCTTATCACTTCACATTTTCTTCCAAATCAATACATAGTCTTCTTGTATAAATAATTTTATGCTATATATTAGCAGCTGAGAGAAAGACAGGTTTTAGGAAATTAAATTTCAGGATCCCATAAGCATGTTGGGGGTACAGTGAGGGCTGGGACAAGAATGTAACAACTGACAAAGTAAAACATTCAATAAGCATTAATTAAACATTTACAGCACGCAACAGCACTGAATTAACTGCAACACTATGCACTACAGGAGTACATGAAAGTAGAAAACAGAAATCCTTCTTCTTATTCCCTCATCACCCCAAAAATATTATTGGGAGTAAACATGTTTATCTCTGCTCCCTCCAGAACCACAGTAAAATGACAATACAAGAATTAAAAGGTAGAAACCCACAAGTGAATATAAGAAAAGACAATAGAAGATGATGGGTGTCAACACAATTTTCAAAGATGGAGAACATACATACGTATGATAAATAATGTGGAGCCAAGGAAGCTGAATTATAACTGCCTACAAGGTTGGGAGACAGGAACTAAATTGACTTGATACATGATTTGATGTACTGGAATACTTCAAAATGTACTGTTAGGCATTTGGTACATATAAAAGGAAATTTTAAGAGTATTGACAAACAACTGAAAACAAATTTGAGCCTATTATTAATTATAGGAAAAATAGTGAAATAAGAAAGGAAAAAATTATAGTACATTTCTTGGCTCAGCAATAAACAATATTTACAAAGTCTCAAAAATGCAACCATTATCTACCAAGAAGAGCAAAAACAGTGATAAAATTATAGTGAGAGGATGCAGGAAGGAAAAGTAGAAAGAGGAATATAGATAGCTAAATCCTCCACTAGCATAGAAGGCAGTCAACAGAAGTCTTTACAAACTGTCCAAAATTCACAAATCTAGAAACATCAACACATCAGGACATTAGAGATAAGGGGCTAAATAACTTTTAAAAAAAGAATTGAATATAGCTGCCACTAGGGAACAGGCATAAGAGGTATGCTGGAGAGACTATTTTTCAATATAACCTTTTTAATATTAGTTTTTTCTTTACTGTATTAAGTATTGTTTGATTAAAATTAATTAAAAACCAAAAATACATGTGTAAATGTCTGAATCATTTAATCAAAGA